TGCCCCAACATCATTTATTGATCTAGTGAGCTGGGTATTTTGTCCATACATAGACATATTTGTGATTATATTCATTGTTGATATATTAGTGTATTCTTGAGATCGTGATGAGCACATAGAGTATTTCAGAATCATTTATAGACTTTGCGACAAAACAATTATATGGTAAATTCAGTGAATGTGAATTTTGGCTCGATAAAGTTGTATTTCTAGGACATGTTATATTAGAAGAGGGAATTTATGTTAAACCGCATAAAATTGAAGCAGTGGTGAAATCGGAAATGCCTAATAATGTGACAGAAATATGAAGTTTTCTTGGCTTAGTAGGTTATTATCGTCGTTTTGTAGAGAGATTTTCTAAAATTACCATTCCTTTGATCAGTTTGATAAGAAAGAATGCTAAATTTATTTGGAATTAAGACTGTGAAAAAAGTTTCCTAGAATTGAAGAATCGACTAGTTTCAGCTCGAGTTCTTACTCTCTCTTCTCCACGTAAAGAGTTTGTGATATATAGTGATGCTTCACATCATGGCCTTGGTTGTGTTTTGATGCAGAATGGGAAGGTTACAACATATGCTACCAGACAGTTAAAGAAACATGAACTAAATTATCCTACACATGATTTAGAATTAGCTGCAGTTGTTCTAGCCTTGAAGATTTGGAGACATTAATTATATGGTGAGAGATGTCAGATATATACAGATCATAAAAGCCAAAAGCATATTTTAGATCAGAAAGAGTTGAGCTTGAGGCAAAGTAGATGGTTAGAGTTGATAAAAGATTATCATCCAATGTAGTTGCCGATGCTCTTAGTAGGAATATATCTAATTCTATGACACAGACTAATACAATATGTTCTTCTTTGTTTGGTAAATTACATGTTCAATTATCAGTTATCAGGTTAGGATCATTGTTTGCTAATTTCCAAGTGAGACCTACTTTGGTTGACACAGTTAGAGAAGCTCAAACTCAAGACCTAGTGTTGAGCAATTGAAAGAAGAAGTTAATAATGGTAAGCATATTGGTTATACCATTCGAGATGACGATGTGTTTGTTATAGGAAATTATGTGTTTCAGATGATTCGAAATTGAAGAAAGAGATTCTAGAGAAGGCACATAGTTCAGCTTACGCAATGCTACCATGTAGTACTAAAATGTATCGTATACTCAAAGAACTATATTGGTGGCACAGAATGAAGAGAGAAATTGCTGAGTTTGTATCCAAGTGTCTCATTTGCCAGCAGGTCAAACCAGATCGTCAGAACATAGCTGAATTGTTACAGATATTGCCTATTCCTTAGTGGAAATGGGGGCACATTACAATGGATTTCTTATTTGGACTTCCAAGTACTCAGAGTGATCATGATGGCATATGGTTCATTGTAGACAGTTGGACGAAAATTGCTAGATTTTTGCCTATTAAAGTCATTTATTCATTAGTTAGATCGGCAAAAATGTATATTGATGAGGTAGTCAGTTTATATGGGGCATCAGTATCTATTGTTTCAGATAGAGATTCTCGCATCACTTCTACATTTTAGCCTAGTCTATAGAAAGCCATGATTATTAAACTTCATTTCAGTACAACATTTCCCCCACAAACAGATGGTGTGCCAAAAAGAAATATACACACCTTGGAAGACATGTTCGAGCTTGTGTACTATAGTTTAAAGGGAATTGGGATACTCATCTTCCTTTAATGGAGTTTGCTTATAATAACAGTTGTAATTCGAGTATAGAAATGAATCATTTTGAAGCATGATATGGTAGAAAATACAGAACTCCAGTTTGTTGGATGAAGTCGGCGAAAGAAAATTGTTGGGTCCTGAATATGTTCAGATTACTATCGATAAAATAAAGATAATTATAGAAAAGCTAAAGATAGATTAAGATAGACAAAAGAACTATGCAGATAGATGTAGAAGAAACCTTGAATTTGAAGTCGGGGATAGAGTTTTTCTGCTATTATTGCCATGGAGATGTGTTATCAGATTTGGTAAATGGGTTAAATTGAGTCCGAGGTATATTGTCCCATATGAGATTATTGAATACATTGGCCCACTTGCTTATAGATTGGCTTTACCAATCGAGTTGTCCAGAATTCATGATGTGATATATGTTTCTATACTTTGTAAGTATATTCCAGATCCGTCTTATGTGTTGGAATCACAAGTGGTAGAGTTGAAAGAGAATCTTACTTGTAAAGAAGAACAAATTCAGATATTGGACAGAAATGAACAAGGTTTCCATAGTAAGACTATTCATTTAGTAAGAGTCTTTTGGAGGAATCATATAATAGAAGAGGCGACATGGGAAAGTGAAGATCAGATGCGTTCTCAGTATCTGTGGCTTTTTTGTATTTAGTCACTTGAATTTCGAGGATGAAATTTTTTTAAAGGGTGAGTTTTGCAATACATTATCTAATTAAACTAGTCAACACTTAAAATTGAGGTCAAAAATGTCAGGCTAGAAAAAAAAAAAGAATTGAAAGCAAACAAAATTGAAGTCAGGCAGTGGGTGACTTTATGTAATAATCCAATTATATAACCAAATCCATTTCATGTAATTCATTAGATCTATACACACATACAAAAAGAGAACCCGAGAACGAAGATAAAGAAAAGAAGAAAGAAAGAAGGGAAAAAAAAAAAAAAGAAAAGAGGAGGAAGAAGAAGAAAAGGAAAAATAGGAAAGTTCGGCAACGAGGTTGGGAAATAAGTGCTTTCTCTTATTAAGCTTGAATTCCTCAATTTTGACAGGTAAGTGAAAAGTCACTTATTCAAAAGCTAATGTTAAATTTTAGAGTTGATAGATTATTAGTTTAAATTTAATTTTATTGAAAGGGAACTATTGAATTATGTCTAATAAGTTATGAAATTAAGTTAAAGGAAAGAAAATAACAGCTTAATTTATTAAAGGAAATGAGAAAATTTCTCTAGTATAAAAATATTAAGATTTAGTATCGCCTATTTAATTATTGGAGTTACTTTAAATGGTTAATTGTTAATATAAACATTATATCACATTTCAGGCAGTGATGTCACATTTCAGGCAGTGATGTGGATATAGAGAGAACTTATCAGCCAAACTAATCGCCACGTAAATAACTTGTTAGTGGAAAAACTTAAATATTTTGCAAGTATTTATAAATTAATTATACTATTATATATTTTATTTTATGCAATAATGTGAATTATTTGTCCAATTACATAATTGATGTAGAAATATTTTTTTATTATGATATATGTGGAATTTTAAAGATTGTATATGAATTATTTGTGAATTGGAATGTGAGACATATGTGATATTGAGATCGACCAGAAAAGTACCCGTGATTATATACTTATTATAGTTCACTGAGGGATCTGGCCGTGTTCTATACTACACTGAGGGGTTGTGGATGAAAGGGTCTTGACCATGTACATATAGTTCACTGAGAGACCTTGAACGTGTTTTAGTACTGATTATGAGAGGTCTTTAAGACCTACTTCTGTTCATTGAGGAGGCCTGATGCTCATGTCGGGAATGCTTAGCTAAGGGGCAGTCTACAGCAGATTTCAAATTTCAGTCAAAGGGTACATTTTTGGTATATTTCTCGATATATTTGATGTGATGAAATGCTGGTATAGATTTCAATTGATGATTATATCATGATTATGAGATGATCTTTTTCAGTATTATGAGGACGTCTCACTTTTTGATTATTATTATTATTTGTTGTTATACCGTGGACTATTAAATGATGTAAACTTGATTTTTTGATAAAAATTTATAAATGAAAAAGTATAATTATTTTTGAACTTCTCTACTTACTGAGCTATCTACTCACATATTTTTCCAAAATTTCCTTATCATGTAGCAATTGAGTTTCTAGACATCTTTTTGAGTTGAGCCTTGATTTTGGAGTCAGAGCCACCCGATAGAGTTAGCTAGTATGACTCTTTTCATAGGGCATATATTCAGTATTTTGGGACACATTTTCATTTTTGGATATCATTCTACATTACTTGTACATAGTTGGATGGGCTCATTATGTATTTTGCATCTATATGTACAATTCATGTTATTTTCATAGTAAAAGTTTGAGAATTCGGCTTATCTCTATATCGTGTTGTATTTGGGGTTAGTGAAGGGAATCATGAATTAACATTGATATGATATTGTTTTTAGGAGTTGTATATATTTGTTTACAAGTTGATTAGTCCAAATTACAAGGGAGACAATGCCGAAATTTTATTAAACATAATTTATAAAAGTATCAAATTGTAGTACCCTTGATGGTGGGTCCATCTTTTAGTTGGTATTTATCATCGGCGCACGTCATACTCTTGGTCCACTAGCGTGATTAGGAGCGGGGCGTGTTATTAAGTGACCTTGCCTGATGCCTGTGACCGCTTTTTGTCCACAAGCCAAGCCTTAAAGCTAGTGATGTGAGATGCAACTATAGTCATTACATCATTTATCAATTTCTATAAATACTACTAATTACATCGTGCCTAGAGTTTGAACCCAAGATTTGGAAATTTGAATTGGAGTTGGACCCTGGATTGTCTTGCTGAATGTCTAAGTTTGATTTTGTCCATGGAACATGCTGCTTTTTATGAGTTTATCATGCAATCTTAGTCACTGATTCACAGGCTATGCATTTGATTACGCAGTCATTTAAAAATTACAGACAAATTACCTTTGTTTTTTGCAAGAACTCTTGTTGTTTGTATCAGCATATGAACATATATATATGAGATCGTGTTATATATTTTTCCATTTCAACAAAATCATAAAACATTAGAAGGAAAAGAAAAAAAAAAAAAAAA